CTTTCATAATCGCTTGCGCCTTTTCATAAACCTCTACCGCATCATCATCAGTTTTTGCTCCTCCAGCAAAGTTATCGACATAAAATGAATCATTGAGCAAAGAAACCATTTCAGGTTCCCTTTCTTTATGTCTACTTAAATGATGTTGAATGATGCTTGCCAAAACTGCTGGGCTAGGGGTAAGCCCAAACACTAGTCGACAAAACTGGAATCGTCGGATTTTCGGAACAGGTTCAGTGATATCGTCGAACCAAAGGAACCGCAGCATTCGTCTGTCCTCAGGCGATATCTGGATTTGGTGAAACGCTTTTTCTATGTCTGCAACAATACCTATCGGATGACTTCGGAATTTGATAACTGTGTCAAATAAATTCGGAACAAGATTGCGTCCCTTTTCCAGACACTCGTTAATTGAAGGACTTTCCTCGTTAGGTTCAGCCGACCCATCGAAAACAACCCGCAACTTGGTTGTCTCTTTGTCTTCTCTAAGTACTCCATGATGAGGTAAATAATACGATCCATCACTATCATCATCTTCCTCAGGAACCGCTTCGATTATGCCACTTTCGAGTTGTTGCTTGATTACACTGTCATAGTCATTTAGCAAATGTTTATCTTTCTTTAAATGGGAATGAAGTTGTCTAAGTCTTCGAACACACGTTGAATATCCGTTTGATTGTGGCAATGCTTCAGTTTTCCAAGGCAACCTAACTTGATATCGACCCTCTTGTTTGTCAAAGCTAACTTCACGTAAAAACTTGGATTGCTCTGGATTCCCAATATCGTAATTTGTGATTCCAATTGATTCTGTGTCCCAGAAGGTTCCAAGAGTTTCGATCAGTTCGCCATCTTTACTTTGAACATACGATGATTGACTTGCTAGCTCATTTCTCTGCATAATAAGGTGGACCATCGAGGATTCATCGTTCTTTTCTTCACGCATTGTTGGACCCGACACTATCCAACCAAATTTACTGCAAACCGCTACAGGGCCTCTCCCCTCTCCTCGGACCATTTCGTTATTCACAATATCGAAATAATAATCACAACCAATGAGAATATCAATGTTATCGTGTTCAAGTTCATCGCTTTCGCTCAGTTTAACGTCAGCCAGGTTCAATCCCTTCAAATGCGGATATCTTTCAGGACAAATCTTTGTGGGAATAGGCGAACAAATCTTGGGAAAACATACTGCTGAAATCTCGATATCCCCATCACCTCCTTGCAAACTTAACTGTACAACATCACACCTTTTCTTGCTGAATCAATCTCCTCCAAATGTATTTAACTTTAACGTTTCTGTTTTAGTGGGTTGCAACCCGAGCTTTTCTTTTAAACCATTGGTTATGTACGTTCGCTGGCTGCCACTATCCATTAAAACTCGAACGGGAACCGTTGCCGACTGTTGACTTGAATAGGCAAATTTGGTGGCTGTTTGTAAAAGAACCTTGGAGCAATTCCCGTTTGTTGTAGTTGTTGTTGTATGATTTTGACCTTGAGCCGCACCACTAGTCGAATCACCTTTGGTAGTGTTTTCTGGTGTTTTACTCTTTACATCACGCTGACAAATCGAATGATGGTGTCGACCTTCGCACCATCGACAGTTTTGTTGTTTCTTGCAATCCCTTGTTATGTGCCCTGTTCCTAGACATAAATAACAACGTTTATCTCTGGTCAAAATATCCTTTCGCTTGCTTGGGTCTTTAACATGAGTACAGGAAGCTGAAAAATGAAATTCACCACAATACACACACTTCGGCTTCGTTTCGTTACTTTCGTCGTCCTTTACAAACAAATTGGCAGCAGACGCTTGATATTTGCTTTTATTTCGTTGGTTGAATTTCCGGAAGTTGTCGATTTCATTTCCGGTCTCTGACTTCCGGTTGTCAATTTCACCGCTTTGGCTTCGAACATTTTCGCTAAGCTCCCTAGCTTCTACTTCTTTACGCATAACTTCGAGCAAATCAGTTATATTCCACACTTCATCGACCGTATTTCTCGCTATATGAAGTCGTATTTCTGCGGGCAATTTTGAGATAATAATAGGTATGAGCAAACTGCCGTACTGACTTGAAGCTACTCCTAACGCTTCGAGACCTCTTACGCTAACGCTAATTTTGTCGTAAACAAATCGAAGTTGTGATGGTTTGTCGCCTGAACACACTGGAATTTTTAGTAGTTCGTCCATATGGGCCGAAATAACTTGTTGTTGATTTCCAAATCGTTGGTTTAACAAGTCTACAGCGGATTGATAATTTTCTTCGGTCAAGGATAAACCTTGAATTGAACGTAGAGCTGGCCCTTCGAGCAACGAGTACAAATAATTGAATTTATCGATTGTTGACAGCTGACTATTTTTATGTACAGCACTATCGTACGAGTCACAAAACGATCGAAATTTGGTTAGTTCTCCCTTAAATTTTGGAAGTACTAACTTTGGGAGTTTAGATTTCGTTACATGATGTTGTTGACTTACTTGATTGTGTTGAATTTGATCTGTACTTGCTTGCGGCGCCGAATTATTCGATACAACGCTTTCGTTTTGCAGTTCGCTTTGTTGTGGTTCATTTATATGCTCACCTTCCACGAATATTGCCGGTTGATTCGTAACTAAGTGTCCTTCGCTCGTTGCCTTTAATATTTTCTTGTTTACATCGAGAACTCGAGTGTTAATTTCTTCGGATTCTATAATTTCCTTGACGATATCTTTTATTTCGCAAATTTCCAATATCTCGCTATCAAGTCGTTTTATATAATCTAGCTTTTCGCGAAGCAGCCCTTGAATCGTAATAAGACGGTCTCGATCACTGTCTTCGTCGTGCAAAAGATCGTTTGCTTCGTTGATGTACTTCGTGATTACTCCGCGATTTGCCTTGCGTATTGCTCGTTTTCGTTCGATTGATTGTGCTTCGGCCATATTCGAAATTCTCCTTGAATCGGTTTACAAACTATATTTCTCAAGCTATTTTTGCGATATTTCTTTCGTTTAGACTCTTCTCAAGCCGCACGTTGGGCGCCATGTAAATAATGTCGTATACTCGTACAATTTAAACGCTTTAATATAAATAAAAATATACAAAATAAACTTCAAACATTGTTGTCGTTCTGTCGATTGTCGAACCTTTTTAAAAAGCGTTCCTAACTTAGTGTCACGTGTTCACAAAGCGCGCGAAATTGCGCAATAACAATTGACGTCATTTACAACCTTCTTGTATAGCTGTGCTATTGTCAATCTCCTTTATCAGGTGGTCTGAACCCTCTATTGTTAAACCCAGTTCTTTTGTGTTTCATGTACTACAGCATGCAAAAGTGATATATCATTTGGTTTACATCAATCTAAAATAATGGGAAAAAAACAATAAGAACAGACACTATTAAAATGATTACAGTTTTTACTGCCAATCAAAGAACACTAGAGAATCAGATATATAATGGCATACCGTGAACCTCCGAACATATGCCCTGGGATTATATTCGTTCGTAAACATTTTTTGATGGGGGCTTATATACAGGGGCCATATACTTTTATTGTATCTGTAAACAATGTGAAGTGTGAACCATTGCCTCAGTCAAAACACGTTCATGACCACTGAATATTGAAGACTAGAAGTGATGATCATTCCTATGTTGTACAGTTAAAACACAGACAAGAAGGGATATGTATTTTAAAAATGTAAACAATATTCTTGGGACCGCTTCAAACATTCAAACAAATCTACCAACCTGAAATTCGCACTATCTTGACCACGATCTGGACCTTGGCAGCAATTCAACGCTCTTCCTTCGATTTGATCTTTCGACAGAATCGACTGTTTAGCTTTAATTTTGTTAAATATTAAATATTCATGTTCATTATTCATATCCAAGCACTGTCCTCACAAAGATTTAATACCATAGTATAGCTATTATATAAATGCTGATATTCATATACGCCGTTGAATGCGATTCGAATTCAAAATTTATAGATATTGGGCGACAAAGAACGAACAATAACCAACGGTTTATGAAACGAAACACGACGATGTACATAAAAGGACATAATCGAAACAGCTCCCTTCGAGTTCGGTAAAAATAGTACCAACATGCTTTGCGCAACGCGACTCTTGCCTGTCGCCATATTTTATATTTGCGAATATTCAAATCGTTTGCTTCTTTATCGCCGGAATATTTGAATATTTATTACTTCTCAACGCAGGAATACTTAAAGATTAAAGCAAGCAAGGTATGTACTACACAATTGCTATTTATTTCCCCAGAAGAGACAGTACAATCTCATTATCTCAGGAGTATTTTGTTTTGCTTGTTTACAACTCGTGTATAAAATACATGAGAAAAATTTTGTCTTGAGTTAATACAGTAACAATTCCACAGGATGTTGGCCTCTCTGCAACCGATTTATTTCTTACAAAGACAACATTTTTTCTTCGCTTGACAGCTTTTTGATAGTGTAATATTTATAACAATATTTCTGGGGCATCTCACTTGATTGAAGTCATTGAACTTAATAATATTGAATTATGAATGTGAAGAAGTTTGTACATGGTCTATAAAGAATAGGCTTTTCACATCCAAGCATTGCCAATGGAGGAGTGGGGTGAGGGCACTGAGGGGCGAACCCTACATGTAGCTTCAAATTAAATATGTACCTTGGTCAGTTTAACCTATTTGTATGGCCTGTTCCAATGAGCCATAAATAATATTAGGATAGAAAATTACATTTTGTTCATGTAAGGAAGCACAAACTATTAGCCCAGTTGGTCAGATCCCAGATTTGTTGAAATGAGAGACCGAATTTTAATGAAAACATTGTGAGAATTATCGGTGTTCTATCAATAGGCATAGCATCATTAAGAAAAGCTAACTGCAACTACTAGGGTGTACAAGGCACTGTTATCAATGTGTCTAATTTGATCCATTGCTGTGGATGACTAAAATATAATCGAAAAGTAGAATTACCATTGTGTGCTTTATGAAAATACGTAGTGCTTCCCATAATCACAATTCATTAATAATATCAATTCCTCCTTAGGATTATGTTGACGAGGGCTATATGTAACAAACCATTCATTGGTGACGCTAGATGATCTTCATTCAAGATTCATTATCGGAAAGGAATCATCAGCAAGAAATGGTCTTTTTATTGGCTGATAAAAATGAACCTTGGGCAGATGTTTGCCAGGTTGTGTATTTCTTGTAGCCTTTGACTTGCATAAGGAAAAGAAAATATATACTGACACTACATGCTAGATGACGAACTCATTGTTGAAGAACATTTTAGTATTGTTTATATAAAAAAAGAACACTGTAAAGTCACCTTGTACTGGACAGAGTAATGTAATAAGTGCAGAGCTCGGCACAGCTAATTTACATTACCATTTGCAGTCTAAATGGTAATAAATGTGATATTTTACATTCATCCAGCTTTACTGTCTTACATTTTGAGGAGCATTACAGTACAAAACTTCAATTTGCCCTACTTGCCTACTGCCCTTTCATTATATTACTCTATCTAACAGCATATAAGGTCAGGGATGGATCCAGCATGATTTGGTAGGGGGGGGGGGTGCTCTGGTGCCGACTGCCAAGTTGTGTCGTCATGTGTGCCGCCCGCCCATCAACTACTGTATTTGAATTGTAATTGTTGTTCACAGTTCACTTATCCTCATGTTATTACTCAAATTACTGTATCTCATTTTGTCTTTTTTGCTTTATCATAAAATATAGCACCCCCCCCACCCCACCCCCCTCTGGCCAGGGCTAGGGGGGTGTGTGCACCCCCCAGTAAATCCATCCCTGTATAAGGTTATATTTCATTAAGGGCTTGAGTCTTATTAATAGTTTATTTGTGAATTTATTTAAATATATATCATTTTGATATTGAGCATAATAGTTTTCACCTAAATACATTGTACTTTATATATTTTCTATTTATGCATGTATGTGTATAATGCTAAATTGAATAGAATATTATTTTTTGCTAAAATGTGTTGATTTAGGTTATGTTAGATGTCACTAAGATGGTTTCGATAAATCGAAACATTGACATGGTCTCGATAAATCGAAACATTGACATGGTCTCGATAAATCGAAATATTGGCATAGTCTCGATAAATCGAAACATTGACATGGTATCGATAAATCGAACCATGACATTGTCTTCGATAAATCGAAACATTGACATGGTCTCGATAAATCGAAACATTGGCATAGTCTCGATAAATTGAAACATTGACTTGGTCTCGATAAATCGAAATATTCACATGGTCTCGATAAATCGAAACATTCACATGGTCTCGATAAATCGAAAAACATTGACTTGGTCTCGATAACTCAAAATATTCACATTTCACATGGTCTCGATAAACTGAAACATTCACATGGTGTCGATAAATCGAAACATTGATATTGTTTCCAAATATAAATTCATCAGAGATGCCTTTGGTTAAACCAACATATTTTCACTGTTAGCTGTCATGCTACTTTTGCATTATTTGATCCTTTTCAGAACAGTCTATAAAATGTGTTGTTAATTTTAGGTAAATTTGGTTGTTTTAGCAAGAGAAGAAAATTTGCATTCTTTTTTTTGCACAAAAGGTGTTTTTAAGCACCAATTTTTCTGGGTTTTTCAGTTTTGGACAAATTTGTTTAAAAATACGAAAATTGGCACCATTTTTGGGTAAATAGAATATTGGACCCTATAGTAGAACGTGTTTGAACTTTAGACTCCGCTAATGCTTTCGTTTCCCCGGGTGTAAAAAGCCGGGGGGAATTAGTACCCTCGCACGGCGCTTCGCGCCGTCGGCTCGGGGATAAATGCCCATTGAGTTGTGGGGTTTGGTATTTTCATTGTCAGTTATAATTAGTAGATTTAGTTATGATGGATTACATGGCTTGGCGATACAAGTGATCGAGTTAATTTGATGCTGGTAAACTTTTTTGAGATTTTGGGGCGTTAGTATAATGCGACGACCAGTGGTTTCGCACACGTGCATGTGTTTTAAAACTAAACCGTTTTGGATATAATGCAAGTCTAGTGTTGTTTAAGAATATGTGATAACTGTTCAAGATCCGGATAGTATGGAATCTATAATGTTCGTGTGTCGATTGTGTGTGAAGCGTTCGTGAGTAGTCGGGTTTGGAGTTATGATGATACTTTGCCAATGTGAGAGAAGATATCTTAATTTTGTAGCTTCTTAATAGCAGTGCGACAATGAGATTATGGGCCTTTTCTAGGAGTTATTTCGTCGTGTTAAACCTTCCTGCATGTTACTGGATGGTGTGATGACTAGGAGAGGCATATAACCTCTCGGTTTACCATAGTGAGTGGATGCAAGCGAGTTGGTGAGATTTCTACTAGTGTAGTCAATTGTTTCTAGGATTCTTGGGATGTTGTGATGTGCTCTCTTTGGTTTTAGGGTGTTCGGTGATGGTGGTTGGTTTTGTGGTGCTTTGAGTTTCAATGGTGGCTTGTGTTATGGAGCTGAAATGTGGATATGCTAGATATATTTGTTTCCAATTTTCTCCAAATATTTTTTTTTTTGGGGGGGGGGGGAAGGATAACCCCCATCCGGTACCGCCTCTGCCGAATCTATGTAATCACTGCTGAGTAAAAAATAATGTACTTGCAGACTGCAACTGACGTATATTGTTCATGTTCATGCATGTATTCTTTCTTCAAAAAATCAAGTCATAAAAGATGCAGAAGTGGCTAGGCTCGTCTTAGTATTCTTTGCTAATTTCAAAGGTCAATAATTTTGCCTTCCGTTAATTTTCCAATCCACACTTTGCGCTTGCTTAAATAAGATTTTTTTGTGCAAAAACTGAGGTGGAGGGGAGCAGGTGAAGACGTCGTCTAGAGGTTTGGCTCGGGTTTGGCCAGTGGTAATTACCATGGGGATTAAGGATAAGCAAAGGCTAGAATCCGCCATGATTTTCGCGACACTTTTATGCCGAACACGCCTTCTGTAATATGTAAAGTTCAGTGGACAATCTAAAGTTTCTAAATCCGCTTTTCTGAAGCGACGATTATATAAACCACATTGATGACAGATTTTTGACTAAAAACTAGGCTAAGAATTACACACTTATGGGGAAAGTCCACAGTGTAGCATTTTTAACAGGACACGATTGCATTACTGCTTATTTTCGAGTTTTTTTATTAAAACAAGTTAATTCAGTTATTTGTATCAACGTTTAATTATACCAATCTACCAATCTCACGAGTCTTTAAGAGAATGATGGGGTTCAATAATGTCGAATTTTATTGAAATTCATTTGCGTCTGTGTGCATTTGACTGTGGTATGATCAAAGCTGCCCATAATTATAAAAAATTCAAGTTGAAATGAAAAATTGATAACAAAAATATTTTTCTAAGCTTCAATTTACTCCTGTCCGAACGGTCTGACGAGTCGAAAAAGCAAAGCAGGATCGACTTCTGCGGTTGTATTAGGAGGATCTGGGACTGGTTTATTCCAGACTTTCAGTTGCATGTTTCCAGCTGCATCACTGCTCAGATACAGGTCGTCGTCGTCCAACTTTTTATTGGATCGAAATACAACATATGGTCTATTTGGTGACCCTAATTCTATCACTTCAAACGATGTATCGGTCATCTGTAAACCAAAAAAAAGGAATTAATTTTATAGCATTTTTCAATAGATGATAAAAATAATGATGGCAACTAGGCCTAAATAATATAGCCTTCTTGATAACAATAGTGGCTGTTCTCTACTATGCTAGGCTCATTGTACCATTGTACCATTGTTTCATTATATATAGCTAATGGAGATAAGATGCTACTAAACCACGAGTCCACGACACCCATGTTTATGTTACTCAGATCTGCGACGGAGTTTTCAAAAACTTTCAGAGCTGCATACCCACTTCAACCTCGTTCCCAGGGTCTTTCTTAGAACGGCGCCAGGCGAAGGAAAGACCCTGGTTTCGGCTGGTCACGTGTCACCCAATGGGTAGGGCTTGTGTGATGAAATTTAAATTTGCAACAAGAAATCGTGAAGAGAACTGCAATTAAAAATTAATATTTATCGTGATGTGACTTTCTGCTCTATAATCTAGTGTCGAGTTACAATTCATGCAAGTTGAATCAGATTTCAACTTATAAACTTGCCAAAGAAAACACGCGTGGGCGGAGTGGCAATACAGGGTGTCTAAAAAGAAACTGAACAGATTGGAAATTGTTCTCAGTTTTGCAAAACAGCTATTAGTATCCAGTTAGAATAATGAAAAAAATTTGTAAACCAGGGGGTGTGTCTTTTCCGACAAACTAAAAATGGCTTCCCCACGCGATTTAAAAGCTATAATCAAATTATGAGTTAATGGAAGAAAAATGTGTTGGTTGTTTATAAACATTTGCTATAAAAAATGTCAGACAATTTGCTTCAGTTTAAATTCTTCAACTATACACGCAAACTTACATTTTTCCCCCTAAAAAATCAGCAATTTGCATGCTTAATTAATTAATGCATTTTCCCAATTTTCATAGTCAGCAATATGCAATTTAGGTAAAGGCATTAATTAAGCATACGAAAGACTGATTTTTAAGGAAAATATGGATAGTTAGTAAAAGGGTTAAAGTAATCCATTATACGAACCGTTTAAAAAAATCACTTTATGACAATTTTATGTTACTTCAAAACATCTTTGGTTACATTCGTGCGAAGAATTACGTTAAAATCAATGTTTTCAAAAAAGGCATACAAAAGTTTAGTGAGGGTTCCCTGTGTCTATAGTATATTTATTCACTTGTATTTCGCGTTTTAATTAATGCCACAAGTCCCTAAAAAGATTGGTGACCACCGTTTTTTAACTGATAATTTATTTCTTTAACGCATTTTACTTTTCATATCCGAAATTAAAAGAAAAATCATTTCTGGATCTTAAAAAAAATGCTTTATCAATGCATGTCCTCACTGAAAGATATGTAAAGAAATGTGGAAAAGACATTTGTGGATCAGAATTGTACACGTTAGAAGTTTCATTTTGCTCAAAAACAATATTTTTTCAAAAATAATTATACAAGATAGGTTAACTAAAGCAAAATCCGCTCTAAAAATGTCAATAAATATCGGGCTGTTGTGATTTAGCTGTTCCTCGTAATGAGCGTCAAGATGGCGCCATATTGGGGTAAAGCTTGTATATTGTGATTGTCATGTCTTCTTAACGAGTTCGGTGACCCCGACTTTTTTGAGTGATTTTACTTTAAATATATCATAAACTCCATGCCTGGGAAGTTTCAGTACATTCTCATTTCGGGAACAATTACTGCGGAATTACCTTAAACTAAAGCAAATTGTCTGACATTTTGTACAATAATTAAAACCCCCAACAACCTTTCCATCCACTAACTCAAAATACGATAAATACGATTAAATTTAGTGCGCAAGCCATTTTCAGTTTATTGGAAAATACACACACCACTTGTTCACAAAATTTGAGTTTGAGAATTTTTTTCCATTATTCTACCTTATAAGTAGGCTAACCGTAGAAGCTATATACATCAAAAACTAGATACTAATGGCTGTTTTGCGAAATTGAGAGCAATTTCAAATCTGTTCAGTTTTTTTTTATACACCCTGTAAAAAGCCTACAAGAAAAAAGAAAATATAAATATATAGGCCGACCAGTATGGTTTATGTACTATTTCGCTGTTAGTATTATATCCTGATACTTGGACCAAAAGAATTTATTTATTGATGAGATGTGGAACTGGAACGAAATAGCGAGATCTTTTGATTTCCGAAGTATCGCCAAGACGCCAACAGTGTGTATCCAGATTGTTGATTATAAAAGCCTTATCAAAAAACTTAAAGCCCGTCAAAACTAAGAATACATTGCTGAAACTCAACGATTATGGTATATGTCAAAGTCTAGCTGTCTGTTGAAGATTGACGGTATCACTGTAAAATCATACATCAAAGATAAGTCAAACGACAGTATATTATATGCTGTGCTGTGCTTAAAAAAATAAGCAGAACTCGACGTTTCGAGCGAAGGCCCTTCGTCAAGAGTTAGTAGGGCCTTCGCTCGAAACGTCGAATTTCTGTTTATTTTTAAAGGTAGTAATATAACCACTCAGCACAGCATTTCTACATTGGTACTAACTACACTGGTACAAACAGTTTTAGTAAATATATTGTATGTCTTTCAATCAGTGGTGAAGCCAAGGAGGGGCTAGGGGGCTACAGCTCCCCTGTCGTGGATCCCTACCGTAGCCCCCCTGTCGGGGAAAATTAATAGATTCGTCGTGGAAAATGGAGAAAAAAATTGAAGGAATTCCGAAAAGCACGATCTTGTCGCCATTCTCTTTCATGGAAGGTGCGACTCTAGTGCGTAGTTACGCGCATTTCTTAATATAGTACACGCGTTACGCAAGTTCGCTTCGTACCAGACATTCCAAACATTCTACTGCCGCAATATTGCACATGCATGGGTATTCATTCTGCTGATGCAATGGTATTGCACATGAATGGGTATTGCAACATGCAGCGAAAACTGTTTAGTCGTCAATACATAAATATAGGACGCGAAATGACAACATTGTAATTACCTCATTACTTAAATACAGTAAAAATATCTTAGTCTATCTCGCTTGGCGCACTCAACGACTTTCTAGCTACGTGAAATAAGTGTTCTGCAGAATATTTCTACGTGAACTGGCAATCATCTACAATTTGGAAATCGGAAAGCAATAGTCGCTCTAAAAAGTATTTAGCCGTATTTGCAGGTTAGATATTCTTTATGGCATAGGCCGTATGCTTTAAAGTTCGTTGCACAGTTTGTCATGCGGATTTTCAAAACGACTACGTCCGCAAACAAACCGAAAATCTAAACACAAAGACCTTCACGCGTCGGTCGTCAGGCACCCGTAACCATTGAGTTGAATAAGTCTGATTGCTCGTCAGAGTAAGTCACTCCCACAAACGTCTACGACCGCACCTAAACATTTTTGCATGTTTACAATTCTAATTTTAAACAGCCAATCTGATTCTTGGTAACAATTACAATTAAACGTCGATTGGCTGTTTAAAATTAGAATTGTAGGTGCGGTCGTAGATGTTTGTAGGAGTTGCGGCGATGCAATTTTTTTTTCCGTAGACAGTCGTACTCCTCATTTATAGTCGGACGCATCATTGATCCGCGTCCAGGCCTCTGCGCATTATCGATGGATCTCTTCATACCCTGCGTAACCCACTGGTGCACCATATATCCATCACTCCACGTTGTTCGTCTTCGACAGTTCGACCACGTGTAGAAAGATGAACAATTTGCTTTGCGATGCCATAGTGAATCTACAAACTTATTTTTCTGGTTCCGAAAATACTCAAGAACTGCTATTGCGAGTTAAAACTATATATCATCCCAATTGAAGAGAATTAGGATAAGATAACTAGAGTGAAAGGAAATACTGGAAGATTCAAAGCGACCATCAAGATCACTTTCCACAAATAGAAGTATTGCCGAATATCCGTCCACGAGTAATATCATATCATGTAGCCCGGCCACATTTCACTGGATATGTATATACCAGATCTTATTGCATCGTTCTAATATACACAAAATAATTACTAAGACATCATTACGAATTGATACTATATTCTATAAAGGAAATATCATGCAAGACTTTTAATGTTTAATATTATGCTTAGCATGCCTTATAATATAAAAATTTTTCTCCCAGCGACGCTAATTAATCATAATCTGTCAAACAACAATGTCTGGTTGTGAGGAACATATCTACATATTACACCACATTTAAGCTCTCTGCATCATTATAATTTAATCTATTAAAGCTAACTATTAACTGTCGCTTTAATCTTAAAATAATTACTTGACTGCGTAGCCACGTATCCACTTAACTAAAATATAGAAGCTACCTATAGCATGAGAATTTGATCTAATGCTAACTCCCTGTATGCCTCGTTCTCAAAATAACCACTTGACTGCGTATCCGCGTATCCACTTCAATATAGAGCTATCAATCTATTATTTATTATTATTCTATTGAGAATAAATGTAGATGTAATAATACATCGTATCCATGGTGTTTGAAAGGCATAGCTTAAAAAGTGGACGGGTATTCTGCAATCGCTCCGGAAGAAATTGCAATGTTTTTCAGAATTATGGAATCGAAAACAATGAAACTTACAAACAGTTACAAAAGTAAAGAAAAGCAAGTGGGAATGGCAAATATGACTTAATAAAATATATTAGGTGTCATCACACACGATATAAAGCCACAATGTGTCCTGCTCAGATTTTGGCATCTCAAACGAAGCAATACAATATTAAATATTTTGAAGTCACCAATTGCGTGCGCAAGACACACTGGGAAGAAATAAGAAGAGTATCCGCTGAATATATTGTTTAAGGGGCGGGTCAATGATGCGTCCGTCTATCAATGAGGAGTCCGACTGTCAACCTCGTTTCCAGGCTCTTTGCTCTTGTGAAGCAAGGACCCTGGTCGGGGCTGGTCACGTGACCCATAGAAAATTGATAACCTAAGAGGGGGATGGAAAAGTATCAAATTACATGTTTTCACTTCCGCACCTCACACTTCGATTGCAAGGAGTGACCGTTCTATACAATCATCTTCGA